AGTTCAAAAGAATATATTTATTTTCTGTGAAGTTTTCATAACTGTTTTGGATATTTGAATGAGAGAAATAGGGAGAGAGAAGAAAAAAAACGAACACATAGTTGCAATGCTTGTTTTCTTTTTTAATGAACATATATCTGTAACAATATAAATAGGCTGCAAAACCACACTTCACAAATCGTGGCTTCTGCAGTGGAATGTCCAGCTTTACAGTATGAACATGTTATTGGGATTTATTTTAACCAAATCTGGTGCATTTGATTTCATGTACTCAGAAATTGTAAACAAACCGGGATGGGCAATTATGATAAATAGTTACAGCAAGTTTAGCAACAAATATAAATAAAATTTTTAGATCACTTTTTGAGCCACGCTTGATTTATCCGAAATGTACAATAAAAACATAAATAAACAGAAAAAAATGAATTTTTTTTTTAAATATTTTCTATAACTTAATATGTTCATATTCATAAATCTATATATAATATTAACAATGTGTGTATTTAAATTACACGAATGTCATACATTCTAGACATGATAATCACATCAACACAAACAATTTGTGAGAAATTCATATGATCATAAGCTCCTTTTATCAGAGGAATGCAAAATAATTTCTGCTTATGCTACACCGGAACTATTATAATAAAATACAAGGCAGTGTCCACCCACACACTTACATGAACAGGGAAGGGAGAAAATATGTATGTAGATTACCCAAAAGATAAGATCAAATTTCACTAATATTTAATAAGGGAAAGAAAATATGTATCAAAATTCATCTATTATTTAATAAGGGAAAGAAAAAGAAAATATGTATGTAGATTACCCAAAAGATAAGATTTAATTTCATCTATTATTTAATATGGGAAAGAAAAAGAAAATATGTAGATTATCCAAAAGATAAGATTAAATTTCATTATTTAATATGGGAAAGAAAAAGAAAATATGTATGTAGATTACCCAAAAGATAAGATTAAATTCCATCTAGTATTTAATATGGGAAAGAAAAAGAAAATATGTATGTAGATTACCCAAAAGATAAGATTAAATTCCATCTAGTATTTAATATGGGAAAGAAAAAGAAAATATGTATGTAGATTACCCAAAAGATAAGATTAAATTNACAAGGCAGTGTCCACCCACACACTTACATGAACAGGGAAGGGAGAAAATATGTATGTAAATTACCCAAAAGATAAGATCAAATTTCATCTATTATTAAATAAGGGAAAAAAATATGTATGTAGATTACCCAAAAGATTAAATTTAATCTATTATTTAATATGGGAAAGAAAAAGAAAATATGTATGTAGATTACCCAAAAGTAAGATTAATTTTCACCTGGTATTTAACATGGGAAAGAATAAGAAATTGTAAATGTAGATATTAAGTAAATAAATTTCAGCTAGGACAGGAAATAGGAAAACAGAAATAATTTCTCAGAATAATAACGGAAATGATAATTACCCAATGGAAAAAAAAAGATTAAATTTCACATCAAGCAGGCTAAATAAGATTGAGCTAATAAATTAAACAATACACTAATTTTATGCACTGAAAATATAATCAGATTTTGTTTAAAAGATAGTCATGTAAAAAAATTTAATTACATTTTTAATAAACCAAATGTCAGAATCAAAATTCACAAGCTTCTAAAAACATTTAAAAACTTCTATAAAACTTAAAGGTTTCATTTCAGAAAATTAAAACAAAATAGATTAGATTACTAAAACTAGAGTTGCCCATTTTCAAGATCAGACAAAACTTCTCCAATTTAATAATTTTTTTAAAAAAATAATTACATTTTAAACTAAGCAAACAACAAAAATTTACTTAGTATTACTTACTTAGCATTAAAATATTGAAATTATTCAAGTACTCAATACAACACTACTAAAATGTGTTGACACATTATAATAAAATATAATAGTTATAACCATTATTTATCTTTAACCAAAAATGTTTTACTTGCTCAAATTTTGGAAATGATTTGTAACTCAAACAGTATATACTGGTCAAAAAATAAAACAGTTTATAAAATGAAATTTACTAAGCATGTTCCGTAAAAATTAAGAACTAATTTATAAAAATGATTTTTTTTTCTTCAGAAAAAAAAAATTAAGATAGTTTTACTAAAACAACTGTAATCAGAATAAGTAATAATAGTTAGTCTAATAAAATTCTTGTCTTTTCCAAGTGCAAAATGTTAAATTTAATAACTTGCTTAAATATTAAAAACCAAAAAGTATTAAATAATAAGTAACTCAAGACTTCTATATTACATTAAAAAAATTTAACATATACTCATGTGGAAGAAAACTGTCAGAAGAAAATATTAAACAAAAAAAGCAATTCAATTGATAAGCAATATATTTTTTAAGTAATAATTTGAGTTCAATATATTTATATAACTTTTTTCTTTGTAAAAATACATTCGGAATTTTGCTTAACATTAGATACGCAAATCAAACAGCATGTCAAATTTTGAAGGTAAACAGCATGGGATAAAATTGCACAAGATAAATAAAACATATATTCACACAATGATTCTACATTAAAATAGGAAAAAACACAACAAGAGAGAAAATAAAAAATTTTGATCACCAGGTATTTAAATGTAAATATAATTTATGGAAAGTTTTGTTAAAATTTTAATGTTTTATTTGTTAATTTCATAACTTTAAAAAAAAACAAAATTTATTACCCTTTCGATTATAGCAAATGATGGCATTTGACAACTGAATAAAAACACTTCAACTAGCCCTTATTAAACAATAAAAATTGAAATGTTTCTGACACTTTCTCAAAAACAGAAATTGCTAGACACATAAATTAATTGCCAGACAAAAGTGTCAGTTTGTAGGACTAGAAGAAAAATGTGAAAAACACGTCTAATTTTTTTAAACTGAAAACTTTTTCTACAGATACATATTCAATTCAAACATAAATTGAGAAAACAAACCTTGGTCAACTGTTTAAGGAAAAAATGAATAAAGCAGAAAATATTCCCAAGTCAAACATGTTTAACTAATGCCTTGCTCAGATTTTTAATTCTTATTATAGAGCGCTTAGAGAAAACAGTAAAACTATACCTGCCCAATTTTTACAGATAAAGAACCAGAAAGATAAACAAGTTGAATATTAGGAAGACAAAATAAGGCAAAACGAGGAAGATTTTCCTTAGAATGACTATTTAATACAATTACATTCCTATCATTAATTCATCAAAATATTGCCAATTATTTCAACAGTATTTCAAAAAAAAATTTATGCGTCACCTGCTTCTTTAATCTCTTTACTGTCACAGTTATAAGTTTGCAATATAATTTTGAAAAACTAACAAGCTATTCATCATGCAAAATATCAAAAGCAGTTTTTTTACTGATCTCTTAACTTAATGGGAAATTTAATATATATACTAGTAAACTAACTTTTAAGGAATAGTGAATTATGTATATACTACAAAGTTTACTAACAGTATTTTACCGAAACTTAAATTTCGATATTTAATCATCAAAATATGACAATTTTAAATCTGTAAGAATTGTAACAGTAGAGCATTAAATTCTTAACTCAGAGAATTTATTCCTTTGTTAGCTATCCCCTTTAGCATAATCATCAAAATTTTGATTTGAAATTCAAATGCATTTTGTTAATAACTGATATCTTTCAGGGATATTTCTAGATAATTTCTAATGGTAAAACGATTTTGTACCAATATTACCTTTTGAACATATTCATAACTGTTAAAGAGAGAGAGAAAAGTAAGTAGTTAAACTCAAAATCGGCCAGAACTTCTTTTCGAGACAGGCAAATTGGGCAGGTATGTAAAACTAGAAAAACCATTTAGTATTTTGGGGCCATTGTAATGGTAATTAAAATTTCAGAATAACCTTCAGTTCTACTTCGGACAGCTTGGTCAAAGTAAGTTTTACTATTCAATGCCTAGTGTAAATAAAATTGCTCATTGTGATTTTTTTTTTCTTTACAGCTTAATTTGAACTTTATTTTTGAAATTTTTAAAGATGCTAATAAGATGTTTTCATACGCATAAAAAATTAAAATTTTCATTAATTTCAGTACAGAAAATCTAAAAAAAAAAAATTGCTTAATTCACAATATTACTTTGGGATAACTTTAAAGCAATCATATTTATCTGGTAGCTAAGCATAGTCAATTTTGTAACACCATATTAAAATAATCCAAACTAATTAACCTTTGATCTATAAAGTAATAGATATTAAATTAATTTGAGTAAAAATAATACTGAAAATAGTGATTGGAGAAAAAGCAAAGTCAAATTAATTTTAAATCATTGTTAAATATTGCTACAAGGGGCATAAATTTTACCATAAGCAGAATGAAAACCAACTATCTTGTATCTTTAAGTCACTGTCCTTTTAAGTTAGTGTAACTTACCAAATAAAAAAAAAGGTAAAATGCAGAAAAAAATTATTAATTTAAAATTAAAACTTATGAATGTCATAACAAAAACCAAGTGTTAAAATAAATTAAAATAAGCAAAGCACAAGTCACAATTACAGGAAATATGAAAGGAGAAAAAGGACAAATGCAGGAAATTTTTTTCAATAATAGTAGGGGGAAAAATTCACTAATAATTGTAAATAATCACAACCAATTGCACACAGGTTTTTCTTCAAAATTGTTTTTATAAGAAAATAAATTAAGAGCAAATAGAAGAAAAACAAATTCAACTGAAAAGAATGCTGTTACACATTTACAAAAAAAAAAAGTTCGGTAAATAATAAAAAAAAATCCTTTGGAATGCGATAAATTTTAGTTATTGATTTGTGACAACAAAAAATCAATATTAAGTTCCAATTTTTTTTCTCATACACTATGCTGAACTTCAATTGAAAATGATAGAATATAAATTGAAAAAAAATTTAAACAATACTGACATGGAGTTTATTTATAAATTTAAAATAATTTTCTATTAAATTTCTTACTTTCTTTAAAAATACATCCAAACCTGAACGAATTTTTGTAATAAAATAACTTTCATCAAATACAAGATTATACTAGTCTGCATGCGATTTTTTTCTTCGTTTTGATACAATAGGAAATGAAAATTTCAAATTAAATCATAAAACTGACATTAAAAAACAATTGTAATTGATTAAAAGGTCTAGTAAAATCCATGAACAGCATTTGACAAATAGAAAACTCCTAAAATTTGTAACAAATTTATACTCATATGAAAATTTATGCATAACAACCAAATTTTAGAAGGACATAGAATTAACTGACAATAACTATATGTATACAGTAAAAGAACTTTAGTGAGTTGCAGATTCTGGGATCCCCACACTACAAAGCACAACATACCATTTAAATAAATAGCAAGGTGGACTTCCTCATTGTCCAGGCAACACTTCACTTGAAAAAGGATTTTTTTTTTCTTTGCTTCTTAAACAAGTGTATCTGATAAGCAGTTTTGCATACATCTTTATTTATAAAAAAAGAATATTTTTTTTTATAAGCTAGAATTCAACTATCCATTTATAGTCAAAAAATCACAGCACTAGAGCCAAGAAAGGCATATACTGATAATTTCAACCCAAAGACAGCAATATATTTTTTTTTCCTTCGAAAAAGTATTTAGAAATAATGTCATGAGGGTTTTTTTTTGTTGAATATGATTAGCCAAGCAAGTTTCCTGGAACACATTCACCAATGGCAGGTTTTGAGTATCTTCATTCAAGTTACCCAACATGTGTCACATCTCTATTTGGACCCAGATGCAATATCTTTCCTGATCAGTGTGGCTTAGAAGGAACTGTATCTTCACTGCATTTATAGTATACTACCCTCTTGCTGCTTTTACCATCTGAAAAAGCTGGAGAAGAACAAAAATTATTTATAAATAAACTCCATAAGTTATGTCCATTATTTCTTACTAAATGCATCGCAGATAAGCTAGCAAAACGGATCAATTACTTTTGTAAATTGCAACATTAAATTGGACATAGGGGTTGATTAATTATTACACAAATATGTTTTAGGCATTTTTAGACTCCTAATTTCTCCTCCTCTCAGCAAACAAAAGTAAATTACAATATTCCTCATGTATGTATGTTACCGGCAAAGTTTGCAATGCAGCATTCTATAGAATGGTTAGGCATTGTATATAATACCTAAAACTAGCCGGCAATGTAGGAAACAATTTATATTTCACACATTTCCTCACAAGTAGCTTCAATTGAAGAGCATGTTTGAAAACCTCTGATAAGATACAAATTAGATGCCAGATGTGAGCTTCAGTTCATTTACTTTTTACCTAACAAAAACTTCTCAGCTCTGAATTCGTGATATGACAGTTAGACTGTCCACCTTCTACCAGAGAGGTCCAGAGTTTGAATCCCAGCAGGGACGGCAAAATTTTGTCTTAAATTTTCGTTTTCAGAAAACAGAGGTTGATAACTATTTAATACGTTTTATTAAACTAATAAATTAGTTCTTATTTTGAATTAATCTTTTTAAAAAATTGAATATGAATACAGATTCTACTATGACAAAATATACGACAAAATTGAATACAGATTATTTTAAATAAAATGATAAAACTATAATTCATATCTTACATTTCAAGTTTTTTTAATAACTTATATTTTTATTAATATGTTTATATTATTTTGTAATTTTAAAAAAACTACAAAATTTAAATTTTAAATTACAAAAATTATAATTATCCACTTTAATTGAAAAATAAAAATTATTAAATATACATACGAGGCCTGTCTAAAAAGTATCCGACCTTAATTTTTCCCTCACAAAGTAGTGATTCTAAGGCGGCGTAGCAGTGCACGGTGGAAGGAGGAACCTTAATGCACGTGTTTGAATTTTTTCACCGCGTTCGCTTGTGCAAATCGCTGGCTGGTGGACGCCAAGTAAGGTGCTGTTCGTAGTGTTCGTCGGATTTAGTTTTCTCGGAAGATGACTGAACGAATGGAGCAAAGATCTGCATCAAATTCTGTCAAAAGCTTGATGATTCTCAAAGCCAAACAATTCGTAAGATTCAACAGGTGTTTGGAGAAGAAGCGATGGGTGTAACACAAATTAAGGAGTGGTTCCACCGATGAACAACTGGCGAACTGGACGGCGAACAACAGGCACTTGCATCACGACAACGCCCCTGAACATTCACCCCAATTGATCCACACTTTCTTCTCCAAACATGGAATTACAACCGTTCACCAACCTCCCTACTTCCCAGACCTGGCTCCTTGCAATTCCTGGTTGTTTCCAAAATTGAAGACGCCACTGAAAAGATCCCGGTTCGAGAGTAGAGAAGAGATAAGGCGGAACGCGACGACGGAGCCGAACACCATTCCAAAAGAAGACTTCCAGAGGTGTTTCCAGTAGTGGAAGGATCGGTTGGTTAAGTGTGTGAAAGCACAAGGGGCCTACTTTGAAGGGGATTAAGGTCCCAACTCCGTCAGGTATTCGAAATATTTTTTCTGGCCAGAGGTCGGATACTTTTTAGACAGGCCTCGTATCTATTATTATTTTTTTTTTGCTTATAAAAATTTAAACTTTAAAAAAATTAATTTAAAACAAAAAGTAATAATTCATAAATTGAATAAAACAATAAATAGTTATCGACTTTTCTAAAAAAGAAAATTAGAGATAAAATTCAATCGTCCCAGCTGGGATTCGAGCTCCGAACACAATACATAACAAATAACGTTTTATATATCAGATAAAAAAATTCTGTTTGAATAAAAGTAAATAAACTGAAACTTTATTGGGACGTATTTTACCCTATGGATAGATAAGGCGCCTAATATGTACCCTATACAAGGTTTTCAAATATGCTCTTTAATTTATGCTTAGCTTTGTTTCAAATGGAATTTTCGAGAAGCTTACTTTCCTTGCTAGTTAGACTGACATCCTCAGCAGCAAATAATTTTCTACTTTTTTCAATTTTTCTTCAATTGATTTTTCATACTATCTGTGACATCCACTATTTAAGTCATGAGGAGAGAATATTCTTAAAAGAGAATAAGAAAGAATCAATGCAACCAGCGAGAGCGAAAATGGTAATTGCCACAGGAGGTGAAGGAACTGCAAAGTGGGGAGTTATTGAAGTCAGACTAACTAGCCCTAGCCCTTCATAATGGTACAGAGCGTGTCTGATCACGCGAGCGATGTTGGGGTGAAATTTTTAGTCAAATTAGAAAATAAAACTTTATTACAGAAAATTTGTGTTACAAAATTTTGCCTTCTTAAAAAATTACAAATATAGTAAATAAGGCAAAATAAATACAAATAAGGCATAAGAAAAAGTGTGTCAAAATATACAATTTTAAAGTTAATTTTCCCATTTTTTTAAATTCTTTATGCCACATCAACTCACTGTCTAAAAAGAAAAATAATATTTTCTGTTATGTTAAATAAAACACAAATAACTTAACATGCCAATTTATTTATTTATTAATTTGAATTCTTTCCTTAAATTTAAGAGTGCGACATTAAATTTAATTTTATAAATGACTATTTGAATATATTTTGATTTCTATTTTTTTAACACATATGCTAGTTTATCTGAGAATTCTGTAAAATCAAATGATTTTTTTTCCTTCTTTGTTAAGGAAAAAAACTTATCAAAAGATTTCAATGATAAACAAATTAAAATTTCTAAAAATATTTTTTTAAAAAGTTATTTGAACTAAAAACAACAAGTATTAAAATTTGGGAGGAATTATAAAACAAAAAACTGTTTCTGAGGAAATATTAGGCTTCAGGATTTTTCTTTTTTTTTCTTCTTTTTTTTTTCCACCTCAGGTATTTAACACATACTCCTCTTTACTAAATATGTACAAATTAAAGGAACAAATCAGAGTGTTTTTCGTATAGACATCAAATCAGCTACTCTATAATCTAAACCATCAATATTTTTGAACTTTAGATTTATTAGATTCTTCCAAAACATCTGTGTAGAAAATTCTTAAAATTTGTGTTTCATTCAGACTACCTTTACTATATTTTATCCATGATAGTTTATCTTCAACACACTCATGCTATAGAATCATTTCAACATTAACAAGTGTCGTATTTGTAGACCTTGTAAGCTTATAACTCAGCTTAAAAAAATCCAAGCAGTTTGAATAATTTTTGTGAAAATAAGTCTAGATATCATTTACACCCACTCTAATAATTAGAAATTGCACAAATTTGAAAAAAAAAGATTTAAATTAAAAACTAGTTCTTAAGGATGTAACACAGCATGTTGCGTATGCAGATAACATATTATGGATTTATGCACAGACCCATATAATATACATTAACACCATACGCCAAAAAAAAAAATAATAATAATAATCCACCTCTCCAAAGTAACTGTCTTTTAGGAATTCCTGAGAAGAAAAAAAAGATTTGTTTTAACACTTTTTTCCACTAATGCAAATGGGATTTAAGATCGTGCATCGTATTTTCACGATTTTATATAAATTTTGAGTTTCGTATTCAAGCCATTTTGAAGCCACATTAGTGATTCGTGTCTAACTGACTTAAAAATTATACATTGGAATTCGTATTCACACGCTTTTAAAATCAAACATTGAGATTCGTATTCACACAATTTCAAAATCAAACTTAGAGATTCGTATATAACATTATTTTAAAATTAAATATTGAGATTCGTATTTACGAGATTTTAAAATTAAATATCTAGATTTGCATATGTGTGATTTAAAAATCAGGCATAGAGATTTATATTCACACTATTTACATAAATAAAATCTCACATGGATATTTTTATTAAAACATTGATGACATTCTTCAGATAAATATTTCCTACAAACAATTTTTCTTGTTTAAATTTCAGGTATTTTTTTAATTTAAAAAAAAAAAAAAGGTTTTGCACATAATTATTTTGGATTTTTTTTTCAGCTTTTTGGTTTATTACCAAACTTATACCTGTGGTATGAATTAATAGATTTCAATAGAAATTAAATACTTTTCAAAAAAATCTGTGATTTTGAAGCGAATTTTGCCAAAATGAGGTGGGGATGAAAGGGTGGAAACTAGTTACAAGTGTGCAGAAAGTTTGAGATTTTGTGTTTGTAAAGTTTTTCATTTTATCTAAGTCTGTACATGTGTTTGGGTGGAATATGGAGGTAACATATTTTAAATTAAAAACTAGCTGTTAAGGATGCAACACAACACAATATGTTGTGTATACGGATAACTTTATATTATGTGTGGAATACGGACATAACGTAGTCCATAACACAGTTACTAACTTTTAAAAAAATTTTAAACTAATGAAAGTTATTCAAAATTGAAGTAACAGTAAATGTGTAATTTGAAGACTTACTATAAGTTTACAAATATAGCATTTAAAAATGGAGAAATTGCGCCCCCTTTCTTGTTTTTTATTTATTTATATTTTTGAGTTCTGTTATATTTTTAGCAAATCATAAACCATAAAGTATCTTTGGTTATTTGGATGAGAATAAAAGAAGAAAATATTTTAAAATACTAGTTTCTAACTTAAATAGCAATAAGTGTAACAAAATTTAAAAAATGATAAAAAAAATTACCTTTTAGCTCTTCTTTTACAGCCTGATACTCTATAAAAGAAAAAATTGGAATCAGAAATAAACTGAAATGATTTAAATATATATTAACTACGTAACTTCAAAATATATTTAAATATATTAGCAAGTAACTATTCCAAGAGAGAAAAGTGTTAACAGAATTTACAATTTCTAGGAAATAATTATCCTAGGAGGAAAAAATTTTAACATAGAATTTAGAATTAGTAGGAAGCAATTATTCAAGAAGGAGAAAGTATTCAAACAGAATTTAGAATTACAATAAAAATATCATTTAATTCATGCAATATTAATCATCAACAAATAAATAAAAATGCCACTATTACAGCATAAAATATTTTACTATGCAACTCAGCTGAAACAAAAAAATATAGCCTACAACTTCTCAATTTCGTTGTTTAAAAAATTTCTGAAAATAAAGAATATTTAAAGCATTAGAAGATTAAAAATTAAAATTAATGAAAAAAATTAATGTAAAAAAATCAAAGAAACAAGTTTTAGATTTTTAAAGATTTCAGAATTTTACTATTCATACAAATGTAATTAAAATTCATAAAATTTACTCAATACAAGCACAAAGCAGAAAAGAATGAAACTTAAAATATATCAATTTGTTCTTTTTTTTTCAACTTAAAAACAATATTTTAATAAAATATATTTGTTGCTATTTTTTATAATGTTGATTGTAATTTTGGGCTTTATAAAGTTGAATGTATTTCAAGATTATCAAAAAAATCAGTATTTGCTTTTCTGATTTTTTTATTAAGAGAATGAATTGAAATTTTTACTAAGATCGCAAATTTTTAAAAAGGACTCATACTGTTAAGCTGAAAACAATTTTCTGCATTAAATTCAAGTACAAGTTGGAATAAATAAAATAAAAAAAATAATAACTTTAATTTTTTACATTTTTAAAATATAAAACTATTCATAAGAAAAAATTAATTCAACATTTCTTTCACTTAAAACTGGAATTTTAGGACATAAAATGAAATCATCAAAAAAAATCTAAAATATTCTTTAAAATTAAAATGGTTAAATTTAAAAAAAATTAAATTATTTTGTATTAATAAACCAACATATGAATAGGTAATATCAGGTATAACTCAATCTTGCATCTTTTTTACAAAACTACAAATATTCAGAGCTATAAAAGATCAACTATTAATAACATTTAATTCATCAACTATTAATAAAATTTCAGTAAGTACCATTAAAATTTAATGATATCAGAAACGCTTTTAAAAATGCAGTGCTATCATAACATCCATAGTAAAAAGATTATATACAAAAGCAAAACATAAAAAATAAAAATTGATCTTAATTTTTGAAAGAAATTTTTAAAGCTAAGCATCTCCGTTTTTCTATCACCCCATTTAATAAAGTCTAGTAGAAACCCCCTTAATTGTTTTGTCATAATAAAAATTTTATAAAAACAAAAGTTTTTAAAAAATAAAAAGCTAGATAGAAACCGAAATAAAAATCATTCTTAATATTTAAACAAAAAATTTGAACATTTAAAACCTCAATTCGGCTTTTTCACGATGCCATATTTTTAGAAAAAAGTTACCATTAAAGAATAATGCTCATTAGGAAAACTGTTTAAAAAACACTGTGTTAAAAATTAAATGCTGAAAAGTTTAAAAAAAAAAATTTTTTTTTATTAGTTTTGAAATTTCAACTTTAACGTTAAGTTTAATGTTTAACTTTAACGTTAACAGTTCAACAATAGCAATTTTCTTTAAAAAAAATTTTAAAAAGTGTTGAAAAAATGAAGAAATTGACTTGCTTGAATATAATTTTTAAAAAATCAGCAGTACAAAACTTATGGTTATAAAGTAATCCAGTTTCAATTCTCCAACTTTTACTTTTCCATTTGTCTTTCAGAACATAAATTAACAAGTTTTAGAATTTAAAACACTCAATATTCAGTAAAAGTGCTGAATATTCGTTTCTACTCTCCTATAATACTTTATGCACCTATTTAAAAACAATTCTTTCTGATTATCAAAATAAGAGAAAAATCTCTTATTTTGATAATTATTTTGACAATCTCTGTGCATACAGTTTATATTTTTTTCAATAAAGTAAACTAAGAAAAAATTAATTAATAAACAACTTACAGCTTGAAGGCTTTTTTCTATAATTTAAATTGAAAACATTCAAATGGTGCACTTATTTTTTTAAAAAAAAGGTATTTATTTAAAAAAACTTTAAAATTTAAAATCATTAAAACATTTATTAATATTCCCCCTAATCTGGAAAAGGAATTCTTATAAAAATTTAACCAGTTTAGAATAATCCTAACAAAGAAAATATTTCTAATATTAATCAGAATTAAACTTTTAAACACAGATAATTTTTCCAGAGCATAATTATTTAAACAGTGAATTATTATTTTTTTTTTTTTCAAAATGGAATGTCAATAAAAAGGCAGTGTTTTTAAATGGCTGGCAGCTTATTTTTATAAAAAGAGCAAAGCATTTATAGGGATCAAACAGCAAGCATAGAGGGGGCGCATTTCTCAAAACGCTAAGGGAGAACACTGGTATAATTAAAATAAATTTCTGACATATTTATTTCAGGGTTGGGTTTTTGACATCAAAAAGTGGTTTTTGACATGACAAGGGTATAATACTGGTTTAAACCGTCAAAAATGTCAAAAACTAAAGTTTGCCAAAAAAATATATCTTCAAAACTACCAACAGTTGCCATGCATTATATTGAAATTTAATTATACTATAGGTAAAAGGCCATGGAGTAAATATTTTTTAA